GAGAGAGAGAGAGAGAGAGAGAGAGAGAGAGAGAGAGAGAGAGAGAATGAAAGAGGAGGGAGAAAAGGCAGGCCGATGGAATGGAATTCAGCAATCAGTTAGGCATTCGGCTTCTAGGATAGCGAGCTTCAGGCGGTATAAATCGCGGCCGTTTGCGCAGGAATATATCTGAGAGACGCCTTCCGCCTCCTCTTCGTCCTGCCGCGTCCCCTCTCCTCTACGGGTCCAACGATGCGCGGATCGTCTTCCTTCTCGTATGATCCTGTCGTACCTTCTTTCCCTCGTATCCTTCGTGATGACCTTTTGTTTTTTGCCGTGCTAGGAACGGTATTAGGCGTCTCACTTGGAATGCGGCTGTCGCTGAAGAGCCCTCGTTCCTTTGACTCCTTTCAGACGGGTGATGCGTCCTAGACACACCAAATGATACCGTGAAACAGGGATACTGCAGGGATCTCTAGCATTTCAGCTAGAAATGCAAACAGAACAATTATAGTGAATCAGACGCAAAATCTTATAAATACTAATTCTATAAATATGTTTAACATTCAGAGATGTTTTGCAAGAAAATATTTTGAAAACAAATTTTATATGTGTATGTACAGAGTATATACTGAAATAAATGATGTTATATCAACAGCATCAAATTAAAAATAATCTCGTTGATTTTTTTTCAATAACAGTATTAATGAAACAAATAAAATTTTATTAAAGAATATGACGTATCTGTTTCATTAATACTGTTGTGTGTGTGTTGTGAATTAACAAAATTATTTCTAATTAAAATTGCAGTTGATATAATATCATTTTTTTCACTGTATATATTTAAGGGACTTTGATATTAATTGCAGAAAATAGTTTAATCTATGTCATCTATGATATAAAGTTGTGAAACTTTAGAATTATAAAATTCTTAAAAAAATAATGAATGTAAAGAAAAGAGAATCTTAAAATCAAGATTAATAGGTCAAGAAAACGAGCATAATAATTTAAAATTATATTTGTTTCTTAGCTTTCTTAAAACGTTCTTTTTTACTTTGCACAAACAAGCTTGACAATTTGTAAATAGTATGTAATTTTACATATATAAGAGATGGTGGAAAGAAAACTCTTTTTTATTAACTTATAAAATGTGCATCTATATGTCTTACCATGGAGTTTTCAAAAGCTAATTGAAAAAAGAATAGCATTGATCTGATACATCACAAATATATATTCGGAAGAGGTCGAAATCGGAGAGTGTCGACTGGGATCCAAGAGCGGGCCGGAGATTTCTTATCGGAAATCGAACTCATTTTGCCGTTCTGGGGAAGAGAAGAAGAAAGTCCATCGAACGAAAAAAGAATGCACTACTCGGAGGTCGCGAAGCCGTCGCAGTGATGGCGATGGAGGAGTAGGAAGAGATAGAGGAGGAAGAGAATGGAGAAGACAGGCGGGTGGAAAAATAAGACTCCTTTCCGGAGGATTGACGAAACAGGCCTGTACTCGATACCATCTGTGTGCTCTTTCAATAATAATAGTATGGACCGAGAAATGTGCGCGCGAGGCGCCGTGGATTCTTTCCGACGTTTTGAGGGCGAAGAGGAAGAGTGGCGATGAAGGAAGAGGGGGAGGAGAGAGAGAGAGAGAGAGAGAGAGAGAGAGATCGTGATAGTTTCGTGGAGAAGATGCGAGAAGGCGCAACGGGGAGAGGATGGGAGGGAGGGAGGGAGGGAGCGGAAAGAACCCGTGTGCTCTCCTCCGGTGCACATACTGGAGCCTCACGGATGAGGCGAGTCCCCACGATTGGCGAAGAGTGGTGGGACGGCAACGAGCGAGGCCCCGCTGCCCAGCCGGCTGGGCCCGCTCTTAGATGATCATCCGGAGACACGGCTGATGGGGCCAGTAGGGGCCCCAGAAATTCCAACAAGGACGGAGCATAATGTGCGACTCAAGGTCGGTTCTACTACCGACGGCAAGGCCCCGACGGATGCGACCACGTTCAAGCAGGGTCGTACCGTGACCTCGCCACATCTCCTCCCCGCTCTTCCTTCCCTTTTCCCTTTTCTTTCCTTGCCCTTCTATCGCGTCCCTTCTTTATGCCTCATCCTACTTCTCCCTCGTTCATTCGTCCTCGTCCTCCGCTGATTCCTCAGCAATCCTGACTACCCTCTCGTCTACCTTTCTCTGCTGGCTCCTGTCCTCATAGCTAGCGCGCACGCTGTCCCCACCAATGACAGAATCGTGCATTGGCCCTCAGGCGCCCTGCGCTTCTGGATTGCATTGCATACGACGACATTCCGCGAGTCTGAAAAAATAGACACTCTCGAGGGCTAGAATGATGAGGATAAACTTGGATTTCGACATTTTAATAGAATAGTCTCACTCTAACAAAAATTTTTATTTACTTTAATGAAAATTTTTTATCTTGCTGTGACATAAAAAACTAAACAAATATTTGTAAGACATTATAATTTTTGTTATTATTAACTATGTAATAGTCTTTTTTTACTATTTTTGCAGGTAATTTTATATGCATTGCAATATATGAAATGTGTCAGTGACATTTTAATACATTTTAGTTCAACAAAATTTTTTTATAATTCATTAATTGAAAATTTTGATAACAATGTTTAAATTCTTCAATCAAAGTAAAATTCTTTTACTTTGAAGAGGAAGGAGCTTCACATATAACAATTGAATATATAGGAATAAGGGATATTTGATATTGGGATGTTAGTCCAGTTGTAGGGACAGGTTAACTCATTTATTTTCAACGTGAAAGCTAGGCATTATACTACGCTATTTAACTTTTAAACTCATCCCTTTTAAACTAGAACTTGGAATTTGAACCGAGGTCCTGGTTGCGACAATCTTGTCGGGGCTGCCGAGGCCCGCCTTTTTACGTCGGGTAAGAAAGAGGCGCTTGAGGCCATCAAGAAGTGAGAGAGAAAGAAAGAGATGGCATGAAAAATATACGGTGGAGGAAGCGCTTGGAATGAAGAGAGAATGACGGAGAAGAAGAAGAAGAAGAAGAAGAAGAAGAAGAAGAAGAAGAAGACGAGAAGAAGGAAGAAGATGAAGAGGGAGTACGTGGAGCCAGTTTGTGCTCCATCTCGTTGGAGAGAAAAGAATCTGTGTGCGCGAGGTTGCAGTGGTAGGGGTAAAAAGGGGTATTGGAGGAGGGATAGGACAGATACCGAAGAGGGGCAGGCAGGACTGGCCGGACGAAGCAAGAAGCGAAGGAAGAGAAGGTAAAAAGAGGAAAAAAGGTGGGATCCCTTAAAAATTGAGACCCACGGAGGTGGGGATTGGAATTTCGGGCCCCGTACACCGGCCAGTCTCAAGGAGGCCTTCGCGAAGATGAGGCGAGGAGAAAAGAGGAGATAGAAGAGTGCACGAGAGCGCAGGAGGGCACGAGACGGGATCGAGAGGAGGAAGTGAAGAATTGGAAAAACGAAAGGAGGCGAAGAGAGAGAAAGAGAGAGAGAGAGAGAGAGAGAGAGAGAGGGTGGAAGAGAAATAGATAGAAGAGAGGAAGAAGAGGAAAAAGCGGAGGTGGAGGAGGAGAAACAGGAGGAAGAAAGGTATCGCGTAGCCACAGAGAGTGCGCACAGTCCACCGTATACTCGGCATGGACCGTCAGTACACCCTCTGCGTACTTGTACCGCACATTACGGCACAGCAGTACCGTAACTACGTGAATAATTATCATCATCAGCAGCAACAAGCGCAGGAGCAGCAACAGAGAAATTTGCAACCTCCATCATATCTTCAGTATCAGCAGCAACGCTTAATTCAGCAGACACAGCAACAGCAACAACAAGAACAAATCTACGAGAACGTCGTATCTCAATATCGCATGAAAATGTGCTATCATAATGATTACGAGAACGACGAGCAGATACAAAGATTCTACTGGGAGCAGTGTTATAAGCGCAACGATACCGACACTACAGCGTATTACTACTGCGAATATGTAAGGATTTACTTGGGATTACTCGTAACAAATATTTGGAAGTACTCGTCAGTTTTGTCAGTTGATATCGCGTGTTGCTTCCTTTTTCTGAGAACGGAAATTGTGTACTTTAGTGCTGCCTTTCTTCGCAAAGTTACGTTTTCGTTTAGAAGATGCTTCGCAAAATTTTATTATCAAAGCGTTAAAACTGTAATATTCTCTTACGATGAAACGTGTGTGCCAACGAATGTGAGCGGTCGAGATTTTTTTTTTTAGTGAGATCGATGTATCGTGATGTATTCTTTGCATAAGAAACCTCGTGTGATTCTTCCAAATATTCGGAATACAGTGACACCACACATGGGATAATCGTGACATTACATAATAGGAACATTTAATTATATTTTTTATGTGAAACATATTAAACACAGCATATATCAGCACATGATGTTAAAGATTATACTTACATGATTAAGATAAATCTTTTTTATTCTGATTAATTAATTTGAGAAGATATTATAACTGCTTTTTCAATAATTATTTAAAAGAATGCTGAGAAGAGTCCCTTTTATGTTAAAGAAGATATTTAATTTCTTAGATTTATTTTTTTGGAAAATTTTGTTTTATCTTTCTTACTTACATTTCTTTACATATCATTTTCCTTTACGTATATAAGTAAACACATCTGACATTCTAGCGCGCGCAATTTGCACGTAATCGCTAAATAAATAATTGCAAACTATGCAGCTCGGCAGTGTTGCTATTTATGGAACCACAATGTCACCTAAATGAGAATTTAAATGACTACCGGTTAAAAGTTACATAATTACGACAAATTATTTTTCTTCATTCTTTATCATTTTCTTAACACATTTAATTAACTCATATGTTAGAAAAAAAGATTTACAGTGATGATGAATATGAAAATAAATGTTATATGATATTGATATGAAAATCAATTGTTTTAAAAAGGTTGTTTTAAAAAGATTCAAATTCTTGTGTTATAGGCGAAGAAGGAGATTTATGACGTAAAACATCAGAGGCTCTGCCTGGCTCAGGATGAGTACAATCACCTCAATAACGCCTTAACCACCCTTGGCGCATCGCGTACAAGTTGTGAGTGTAATTTAACATACAGAGGATTTTTATCGGTTCCTGATTTAAATAGTAACTTGGATATACTGTGCGCGTTACATGCAGATATTTATGAATGCTTCATCAATCCTGTCATTTGAAAAGTGTTGTGTCGTTAAAATGAAATTATAGAACATTGTTGCGAATTAGGGAATTTGTCATGATTGGTTTTCATATTTTGAATTTTACATGTGATCAAATATCCGATTTTAAATTGATTTTAACGCGAGTGTAAGTAAAAAAGTTCTCACCATCGGAAAATATTGACGGGCATTTGTGGTTCGCAGTGTGTTCCAGCTCGAGTTCCTTGAGTACCAAATATGACCCTGACCTGCTTAAATCAGACGTGGCACTTGCAAGGAGTCGAGTTTCTCGATTAAAACGAGAACTCGAGCAAATTCGAGCGGAGATGAATTGCACGCAACGAGGAGTAGATACTCTCGCCAGGTATTACATAGACGAACATTAAATCGGCGATTTTTGTATTAAACTTGTTTAAGTAATTTAACCACAGTCTGTAACGAAAATTATTTATATGCATTTTACTAAGATTTTATGAAAAATTTTGCTTCTCTAACGTTTATTTTAATAATACTTTCTAATAATAATTTTTATTTAAGAAATTTTTTATATTGAATTTTAAGACGCTTTTTTTTATTAACTATCATATTATATCGCCAGTTATTTGTAGTACTCACAACACTTGAGAATAGTTCTAACTCCTGCGGTCTACTTCTTTCTGCAGTGTGGAACAAAAATTGAGCACCCATCATGGGGGATGCTACAATATTATGGAAGCGCAAGCGATCATGACGGAGCTTCGCAACATTCAAAAGTCCTTAAGCTCGGGCGAGAAAGAGAAGGCTGAGCTGATGCAATCCCTGGCACAATTAAAGGATGAACTAACAAGGTTGCAACTATGCGAGGGCAGTCCGGAAGCTAGCACGCTTAGCTTGCCACAGGAGAAGCTCAGTACGGCCTCCCAAACTGATCTCTCGGGCGAGCTGGTACCGATCGGTACTCGGCTGGCCGAGATGGCACGTATGAGGTTGCAATATGATGAGGCAAGAAAACAGATTCAGCATATACAACAACAGTTGGCGGATCTCGAAGAAAAAGTGACGCCGGGGCAAACTGAGAGCGACAAGGACAAGCTGTTATTATTCCAAGAAAAGGAACAGTTATTGAGGGAATTACGTAGCATTACTCCACGCACGAGAACGCAACAGGACATGAAGAAGATCCAATTGGAAATTCGCAGACTCGAGCAAGATCTTAATACTGCGTTTGAACTTTCAAATAAAACCATCACCGATCGCGTACGGCTCCACGAAGAGAAGCAACTGCTGCTGCAGCAACTTAGAAACGCGCTGCGCTCAATGGCAATGTTGGAGGGTCAATTGAAAACTTTGAGCGCTAGTACGTTGTCGGTGAGCAGTAGTTCCAGTCTTGGTAGTCTCAGCACGACTAGTAGCAAAGGTTCTCTCAGTTCTGGACTTAGCTTCACGGATATTTACGGTGGTCCGCAGTGTCTGGGATCGGCCAGTTTACAGCAAGAACGACCAGTCGATATGGTTGACCTCCACAGACGTGTTGAAAGACTGTTGCGCGGTTCCGAACAAAGTAATCTCGTCGGAACACCTTCACCCGGCAGATCTCAGCCCAGTCTTTCCCCAAGATCGAGTTTGTCCAGTGTAAGCCCGCCGGTATCGCCGTTGTATGAAAATGCGCCGATGGGTCCGCCGCCCGCCTATGAACAGATAGAACAGCAAAGGAGGCAATATCAGAGAACAGCGGCACCTGCAGCGACGACAACGACAACAACAATGGCAGCGATTAGCAGTACTGCTACGTCTCACCTGGACGGGAATCAATTAGAAGACCGTTTATCGGAGTTCAGATTTAGTCAGCAACAAGGAGTAGCGTCACAACAAGAACAGCCGTGCTCCATCAATACGCAGGATCGTTTGAAACTCGTAGTCGGTCCCCATCCGCCCGTCGAGCTGCAATCGAGTAATATGTCTCAGGGCAGTGGCTTGGGCAGGCCTAGCGCGAGCGGCACGCAGATGCAACTGCAACAGGTACCACCATCGTCCCTGCCGCAGGAGCCACTCCCCTTATCGCCAATCAGCGAAACGCCACCGCCTACTGGGATCAGGTCGAGAGCCAGTAGTTCCGGTACCAACACTAGATCCGTCTCCGCCGCCGTTTCTGATGAGAGCGTCGCAGGTGACTCGGGTGTCTTCGAGGCATGCAACCGAAAAAGATTATCCGGGCCCATCTCCGATGTAGACCCATTAGCTTCTGGCGAAATGAGTCTAGAAACCGCACAAGTACAGATTAAACTAAGGTATATTTTGTTTATGGGCCATATAGTATAAAAATCGAATAAAATATAATAAAAATGTGCATAAAAGTGTCATAACATATTATAAAAGTATATTTCTTTTGCAGACAATATTTTTCTTATATACTTATTTAAAATTTGTTATATTGTCGAATATATG